CTCCCATCCCCTCTTTAGGTTGCCCTACGATTAAACAAACCTTTTTCTTTGCTGCAACCCGGTGCCTTAGCGTATTGATTTGCACATCTGGCAATGAACTTACTGCAGTTACAATCTGACACTATCTCCAGGTAGAAAGTGTTGGAATTAAATTAAATTGAAGAACACCCAGTTAGTATCTGCTGCAGAATTGCTTGATGTGTGGAGAAACAACCCACACACGTCAGGTGTCAGAAGTATTATGTTGAATGACTGTTGAGGGAGTCTGTAGTTGTGAGGGAGAAAAAACACTGCTTTTTTCATCAGTTCTCAAGATAACCCTGTGAGATTGTAACCGCCTGACGGCTTCACCTTGCCTGCTGCCTAGACAGAGCCAATGTATCAAGACAGAGGAATTACAATGGAGAAAGAGTAAATTCATGCAGAGCCAGCTGTGGAGAAAACCAGAGTTTTATTATTACCCCAATCAGTCTTGCTGAGCATTCGGCGATCAGAGTTTTTATTTTATTTATTTATTTGTTTGTTTATTTTTGAGACATTGTCTTGTATTGTTGCCTGGGCTAGAGTGCAATGGCGTGATCTTGGCTCACTGCAACCTCCACCTCCCGGGTTCAACCGATTTCCCTGCCTCAGTCTCCAGAGTAGCTGGGATTACAGGCACTCGCCACCACGCCCGGCTAATTTTTTGTATTTTTAGTAGAGACAGGGTTTCACTATGTTAGCCAGGCTGGTCTTGAACTCCTGACCTTGTGATCCGCCCACCTTGGCCTCTCAAAGTGCTGGGATTATAGGCGTGAGCCACCGCACCTGGCCTATTTATTTATTTATTTTAGACGGAGTCTCGCTCTGTCTCCCATGCTGGAGTGCAATGGCGCAATCTCAGCTCACTGCATCCCGGGTTCAAGCAATTATCTACCTCAGCCTCCTGAGTAGCTGTGATTACAGGCGCTTGCCACCACGCCCAGCAATTTTTTTTTTCTTTTTCTTTTTTTAGTAGAGATGAGATTTCACCATCTTGGCCAGGCTGGTCTTGAACTCCTGACCTCATGATCTGCCTGCCTCGGCCTCCCAAAATGCTGGGATTACAGGTGTGAGCTACTGCACCCAGCCTCAGGGATCAGAGTTTTTAAAGATAATCTGGCTGGTAGGGGCTAGACAAGTAGGGAGTGCTGACTGGTCAGGTTGGAGATGGAATGATAGGGGGTCGAAATGAGTTTTTCTTGCTGTCTTCTGTTCCTGAGTGGGATGGCAGAACTGGCTGAGCTACATTACTGTCGGGGGTGGTGTCAGCTGATCCATCGAGTGCAGGGTCTGCAAAATATCTCAAGCACTGATCTTCGGTTTTACAATAGTGATGTTATCCCCAGAAGCAATCTGGGGAGGTTTAGACTTGCAGCTGGAGGCTGCATGGTCTCTAAACTGTAATTTCTGATCTCGTAGCTAATTTGTTAGTCCAGAAAGGCAGACTGGTCCCCAGGCAAGAAGGGTTTTTTTTTTTTTTTTGGGTGGGGGAGGGCCATTATCAATTTTGTTTCAGAGTTAAACTATAAATTCCTTCCCAAGGTTAGTTCAGCCTACACCCAGGAATGAACAAGGACCGCTTAAAGGTCAGAAGCAAGATGGAGTAGGTTAGGTCTAATCTCTTCCACTGTCATAATTTCCTCAGTTATAATTTTTGCAAAGGTGGTTTCAAGATCAAGATGAGAAAAATGGGTCTTGGAGAGGTAAAATAACTGGTCCAAAAGCAAACAGCTGCATTCTCTGTATCTCCTCTCTTGTAGAATAAATGAATGATGTCTCTGTTATAGGGAATTAGACAGATAGGTGGGCAGCCACCACATTGGTTATAATTAAGTTCCATTCTTTCCTCACCAGCCCAGCATTGTACTTGGCTGCAGCAGACCCAGAGAGGCAGGACAGCCCTGTGGGGTGTGGACTGTTCTCCTGTGAGGCTGCAAACAGCAAAGATCTGTCTGCTGCCCTTGGAGGGGTGGCCATAGAGGCTTGGGGACAGGCAGTTTCTAAGGGGATACAAAATGGATCCTTCCTCATCCTCCCACTTGCGTGCAGTCATTTCCTGAAGTAAAGCTGAGCTAAACCCTAAAGGATAGTCAGGATTTAGACAGGGGAAAGGAAGGTGAAAGAAACTGATGACCAGGTGCAGTGGTGTGTACCGGTAGGCCCAGTACTTTGGGAGGCCGAAGTGGGAGGATCAGTTGAAGCCAGGAATTCAACACCAGCTTGGGCAACAAAGCCATACTCTGTCTCTAAACAACAAACAAACAATGAATGGATGAAGAAAACAGTAAAATAGTTACTAAATGTGTATCATGCATGTGGGCTGGGCACAGTGGCTCACGCCTGTAATCCCAGCACTTTGGGAGGCTGAGGCAAGCAGATCATTTGAAGTCAGGAGTTCCAAGACCAACCCGGCCAACATGGTGAAACCCAGTCTCTACTAAAATTCCAAAAAAAAAAAAAAAAAATTAACTGAGTGTGGTGGTGCATGCTTGTAATCCCAGCTACTTGGGAAGCTGAGGCAGCAGAATCGCCTGGACCTGGGAGGCGGAGGTTGCAGTGAGCTGAAATCATGGCACCGTACTCCAGCCTGGGTGACACAACGAGACTTTGTCTCAAAAACAAACAAACAAAAAACAAAGCAAAACCCAAACCCACAAAAAAAAATAAATAAATGTGTATCATGTGCTTTATACTATGTTAGTGACAGAAACACAACAGTGAGCAAAACAGACCTTAACCCTACCCTCATGGAGCTTCCAGTCTAGTGGAGGATACAGGCATAAAGAACCACCTATACTAGTATTAATTACAATCTGCAATAGGTATTGTGAAGGAAAAGTACAGGGCAATAGGAGAGCTTATGTTGGGTGTGAGGTGATGATGTAACCAAGAGAGCGAAGGGAAGCTACCCCTGAAGAAAGACATCTGAACTTGCATTTGAAGGGTCAGGAGAGGTTAACCAGAGGATGATAGTGGGGCATGGGTTAAGTGATTACCAGGTAGAGGGAACACATGTGCAAAGGCCCTGAGACACGAGGGCAGAAGGAAGGTTTGAGGAATTGAAAAGTACTTGCATGGATGGAACATCGGGGGTTGGGCACCAGAATGGGCCAGAAGGAGAGAAAGGTAGGGGCAGATCCTTTAGGACCCTGAAGACAGACTAAGAATTTGGGCCTTTATGAATTTTTTTTTTTTTTTGAGACAGAGTTTCATTCTTTTTGTCCAGGCTGGAGTGCAATGTTGCAATCTTAGCTCACTGCAACCTCCGCCTCCCAGGTTCAAGCAATTCTCCTGCCTCAGCCTCCCAACTAGGTGGGATTACAGGTGTGCACCACCACACCCGGCTAATTTTGTATTTTTAGTAGAGACAAGGTTTCACCATGTTGGCCAGGCTGGTCTCGAACTCTTGACCTCAGGTGATCTGCCTGCCTTGGCCTCCCAAAGCGCTGGGACTACAGGCATGAGCCACCTTGCCTGGTCTGATTTTTTTTTTTTTTTTTTAACTGAGACAGGGTCTCACTCTATCACTCGGAGTATAGTGGTACAATGATGGCTCACTGCAGCTTCGACCTCCTGAGCTCAAGCAGTCCTCCTGCAGCCTGCCAAGTAGCTGGGAGGACAGGCGCAGGCCACCATGCCTAGCTAATTATGTATTTGTGTGATATATATGTGTGTGTGTGTATATATATATATATTTTTTTTTTTTTGTAGAGACAGGGTCTTGATATGTTGCCTAGGCTGGTCTCGAACTCCTGGCTTCAAGTGATCCTCCTACCTCTGCCTCCCAAAGTGCTGGAATTACAGGCATGAGCCACACACCTGGCCCGTTATGGAAATTAATTGAAAAATTTTAACAAAATTTTGTGACAATTTTGCCCCCTTTAAACAGATCTTTGATTACAGCATGAGGAACAATACACCAATTAACAGCACTCTATGAGTCCAGGGTAAAAATGACAGTGGCTGGGATTCGGTGACAGCAGAGATGAATACCAGAGAGATCCAAATAAATAAGGTGGATTTGGCCAGGCAGTGGCTCATGAGTATAATCCTAGCATTTTAGGAAGCCAAAGCGGGAGGACCACTTCAGCCCAGGTGTTTGAGACGAGCCTAACATAGTGAGATCCTTATTTCTACAAAAAAAAAAAATCCATAAATTAGCTGGGTATGGTGGCGACCAGCTGTAGTCCCAGCTACTCAGGAGGCTGAGGTGGGAGGATTGCTTGAGCCCAGGAGCTCGAGGCTGCAGTGACCCATCATGGCGCCACTGCACTCCAGCCTGGGCGACCGTGAGACCCTGTCGCAAAAAAAAAAAAAAAGAAAAAAGAAAAAAAAGCGGAGTTGTGGAGAGTGAAGCAGCCACCTCCCCCATGATTGAGGCTCTGTCGCTGAATTCCTTCATTCACTTAATAAATGCTTGATGGCCAGGTTCAAGTCCTAACTCAGGTCCCAAAGCTGATGGACCCAGGAACCCTCGTTCCTAAAACGATGAAATGACATCAGAGGGCGAGCAGCCCTAAAAGAAGCAGGCTCAGCTCTGGTGGAGGACTGCTGGATGATCCTGGCACTTCTCTCTCCCGGAGCACGTTCTGCAGAGGAGGCGCTTTCCTAGTTCTCCCAAGGCCTCTGGCCTCACCTGTCACCCCTGTCCTCTGGCCGGGAATCAGTTTGGACTTCTTCCCAAACTTGGTCTACAGGGAAGTGAAGGGGCCGTTTCCTGTCCCACTTTTGAGAGTTCGCTTTAGAAACATAAAATTGGAAGGTGTCAGATTGATAGGCAGTTGGGAAGGACTCCGGCCACGCCTCTGGCTCCTCAGACCCTCCAGGCAGCCGAGATCCCTGAATCCCCGGCAGAGCGAAGATGTGGACGGAAGCCAAAAGCCCACCCGCCGCACTATTGTGGGCAGGGCGGGGGGGGAGGGCCGGAGCGGACATCGGTGACGTCATAGGGTCACGCCCCTCGGGGAGGGCTCCGCGCCTGCGCCAGAACCGCTGCCTCGCACCCGGAAGTGGAGGGTCTACACGAAGCGCCGCTGGGTCTGGGTGCCCGGAGGCAGCAGCGTTCGCGGAGTTCGCCCGCCGGCCTCCGATCGCCATGTCGGCTTTCGACACCAACCCCTTCGCGGACCCGGTGGATGTAAACCCCTTCCAGGTAAAGCCCCCCTCCCGCCACCCAGCTCTCAGATTTCCCTAGGGCCCACGGCCGCCGCCCGGGCCTCTTTTCGCCAGAGCCGGGAGACGTGGCGTAGGAGGGACGGGTCATCTGCCCAATGGGAGAGCGGGCTTTGAAGCCTGGCCTATCGTAACTCGTGGGGGGCGCGACTAGCAACAGGTGGCACTGCAGAGGAGGCGGGGCGCTGAAGTCTTGGAGAGAGTGGGGTCTTCTAGCACCCGGAGACTGGGCTGTGCTAGGGAAGGGGACTGGAGCAGGCACGGTCGGACCCTTAGGGAAGTCCCCTAGCGTCAGGGGGAAGCGAAATGTGGCTATCACATTCCCTCATTCTTGGATAGACACCTGTCCTGAGTCACCTTAGAAGAGGGGGTGACAGCAATATATGAGGAGGTGGTGAAGCCTGTGGTGGGGTGGAAAAATGTGGGAAAAGCCCAGGACACCTGCCACCGCTCCACCACCTGCCAAACTAGTGTATACAGTACAGGAGAGCCCCTGAGATTTGTCAGGGAAAGAAGGCTGGGAGAGGGTGGGAAGGTAGCCCAAGTTGAAAAATGTCCTTGGTAAGAATTCCGCATTTTGGCCATGGGTCTAGTTTGGAGTGTATTTTGACCAGATAGGAGAGTCTGGGTTAGGGAGGGAGGAGAGGTGCGCGGGGCTCTGAAAAAGTCTGGACCAGGGAACGTTTGTCTGATGGACCTATGTGTGGTGGCAACATAGTTGAAGATGCCGAGTGAGCCTGGTGAGGCTGGCCGCTGACGCTTCTTTTTTTTTTTTTGAGACGGGCAGTCTTTCGCTCTGTCGGCCCAGGCTGGGGTGCAGCTGCGCGCCCGCATCTCGTGCTCACTGAAGCTCTGCCTCGCCGGTTCACACCATTCTCCTGCCTCAGCCTCCAGCAAGTAACTGGTTACAGGCGCCCGCCACCCCGCGCGCCCCGCTAATTTGTTTGTATTTTTAGTAGAGATGGGATTCTTTTCTTTTCTTTTTTTTTTCTTTTTTTTTTTTTTTTGAGACGGAGCTCACTCTGTTTGCCCAGGCTGCGAGTGCAGGTGGCGGATCTTCAGCTCACGTGCAAGCTCCGCCTCCCAGGTTCACGCCATCGTCCTGCCTCAGCCTCCCGGTAACTGGGAACAGGTGCCCGCCACGTCACCCGGCTAATTTTTTTTGTATTTTGGTAAGACGGGGTTTGCACCGTGTTAGCCTATTTATGTGTCTCGATCCTCTGTGTGTTATGTGTGTGCCCCTCGGTCCTCTCATATTTTGTGTTGGGTGATGGTTGTTAGCATTCTGTCGTTCTTTTTTTTGCCTAGAGTGTATTGTGTTTCATCTGTTTGTTATAGGTTGGTCTCCATTGCCTGACCGTTGTGTATCCACCCGCCTCGGGCTCTCAAAGTGCTGGGCTTTTTTTTTTTCATTACAGAGGAGCCACCTTTTTTTTTTTTTTTTTTTGTTTTTTTTTTTTTTTTTTTTTTTTTTGAGACAGAGTTCCTCTTTCTCCAGTTCTGGAGTTTTTGTATATATGGCTTCCTGCTCTTTTGTTATTCTTGGAGCCTCCTGTGGGTTCAAGCGATTCTCCTGCCTCAGCCTCCTGAGTAGCTGGGATTACAGGCATGCACCACCACGCCGGGCTAATTTTGTATTTTTAGTAGAGACGGGATTTCTCCACGTTGGTCAGGCTAGTCTCGAACTCCCGACCTCAGGTGATCCGCCTGCCTTGGCCTCCCAAAGTGATGGGATTACAGGCGTGAGCCACCGCGCCTGGCCCTCTTTCTTTCATTTTTAAGACAGGGTCTCACTCTGTTGCCCAGGCTGTATCGCAGTGGAGGTCATGGCAACCTTGACCTCCAGGATTCAAATAATCTTCCCACCTCAGTCTCCTGAGTAGCTGGGACTGTACGCATGTGCCACTGGGCCTTACTCCTTTTAAGAAAAAATTTTGTAGAGAAGGGGTCTCACTGTGTTGCCCAAGCTGGTCTCGAAATCCTGGTCTCAAGCAATCCCCCGGCGCCAGCCTCTCAAAGTGCTGTGATTACAGGCATGAGCCACAGGACAGTCTTCCTACTTAAAGCCCACACCTTTCTGCCTTTGAGCTGAGAGCACAGGGATGATCTTTTTCTACCATGAGGGGCTGAACTGTTAGCTCCAGAGCTCCTATGCCTCTTGTTTCACATCTGCTCAAAACCTGTTCTAGGGAAGCTTGTTTATGCTGACTGGTGAATGATGAGCCCTGATGTTCTGCTCTGTCAGGATGTCATCGGCACGTTAACTCACCCTGCTTGTCCTTTATTTTGGTCACTGGCAGCTTTTAAGTTTCCTGCAGGTGTCAGAGAAGTCCTTGAAGTAATCCTTCCTGCCATTCACAGCATGAGTTTTCCCACTTTGAATTGCTTCAAGGGTCAGAGCAAAATCAAAGGAGACTTGAACTAAATAATTATACGCTGCTAGGAGAGTGAAAATGTTTCGCTTCTTTCTTGGTCTCAAGGTGTCTTAGCCAACAGGAGCCCTCAGGGCAAATTCTGATAGCTTGTTCCTTAGAATATCAGGAAATTCTGAACATTCCTCTTGTAGCTTAATGTTTCTTGACAGAGCCTTTGCAAGGACCTTGTCTCTTATGTAAGGCAAACGGTCATCTCTATTCATCGAATAAAGAAAGATTTGCATTTTTTTTTCTGCCAATGTCTTCTGGTAACAGACTTTAATTACAAAACTGCTGTATACTGGGGTTTGGGTTTTAGTAGGATCTTGTAGCCTTATGGTGTATGCCATATGTGATGATTTTCCATTTTTTATGTGTTTTTTTTGGTCCTGTCAGAATCAGAAATAAAAAGTCTGATGCTGTCTGACAGAGAGGAAGTCAGTTGTCTAAAGATGCAGAGAGCTTTGCTCTAGTGCTAGCAGAGGGCAAGATAGTTCTACCCTGTATTAATAGCTGCTTGACAGTCTTAAACCTCATCTCTGGCTCCAAAAATGACTGTGCAAACTGTGGTAGAAGTAACTTCTGCATTCTAGCAAGACAGTCCGTCCATCAGGAAGCCCCAGGAAATGGCATGACAGGAAGCAGCTGTGGTCCTGTCAGCCACATCTGGTGGGGAGTCCTGGGTGGGAAGGAGAGAGCTGGCTGGCTGGCTGCGATTTGCTCCTCCTCATCCTGGGCTGGGCTTTTCCTCTTGGCACACAGTGGTATGGGGAGAAACAGCTTTGGATGTGAGGCCTCTGAGTCTTCTCCTGGTCAGAGCTACCCGCCCTTTCCTTGAGATGGTGGTGTCTGCTTACCCGCCCTTTCCTTGAGATGGTGGTGTCTGCATTCCCAGGGCTGGGATGTTGGGAGGTGCAGCCCTTGGGTGCCTGGGTGTGAGCCCAGCTTCATTTACTTAGGGTGTTGGCACCAAGCTCAGGAGAGAGCAGGTGGAAAAGCGATAGACTCAGAAACTGTCACACCTAGTCACACTCCAGAACAGTCGTTTTTATTTCCGTCATGCAGTGTAATGGTGGATTGCAAAAATATACCTGGTGTTTAGAGTCCATGGTTGACTGTTAGAGCTGAGAACATTCTTAGAACTCTATTCTAACCTCTTCAGTTTAGAGATGAGGAAACCAAGACCTCAATGAGGATGGTATGTGCCAGAGTCATCAGCTATTTAGCAGCTGGAAGGGGCTGACCTGGGTCTCATTCCCAGGACAGGGCTGTTTTAAAGGTTTTGAAGCTCAGACATTGGTGTTAAACTGCACTGGGGCTATTTTAGGCTGGCTAAGGAAAGAATGGAATGTAGCATCATCATGTTGTCACCATTCTTGAGAGTACTGGGAGTGGTGAAAGTAACAAATTAGTATTAGCTAAGCTACCTTTTTTCTCCAGTGTGAGGGGATGGAATAATACAGATCTTGTGCTTTTGTTTTTTAAATGTTTTATTTTTTATTATTGTTTGTTTGTTTTATTTTATTTTTTCCACTGGAGAAAATTCTTGGGCTTTTTAAGACAGTTCTTTAAAGCAATGCCAGTCCTGAAAGGTGCTCAGGGTTCTGTGGTCAAATAGGTTTGGGTTTGCTACCTATTTCATTTTTGTTTCTTTATTTTTTTTGAGATGGTGTTTCACTCTTTTCGCCCAGGCTGGAGTGCAATGGTGCGATCTTGGCTCACTGCAACCTCCACATCCTGGGTTCAAGCGATTCTCCTGCCTCAGCCTCCCAACTAGGTGGGATTACAGGCACCCACCACCACACTCAGAATTTTTGTATTTTTACTAGAGACAGGGTTTCACCATGTTGGCCAGGCTGGTCACGAACTCCTGACCTCAGGTGATCCACCCGCCTCAGCCTCCCAAAGTGCTAGGATTACAGGCATGAGCCACTGTGCCCAGCCTATTTGTTTTTTCAAAGATTCACAAAGATTGGCCAGGCACGGTGGCTCATGCCTGTAATCTCAGCACTTTGGGAGGCCAGGGCAGGTGGATCACTTGAGGTCATGAGTTTGAGAATGGCCTGGGCAACATGGCGAAACCCCATCTCTACAAAAAATAAAAAAAATTAGCCGGATGTGGTGGCATGCACTTGTGGGCTCAGCTACTCGGGAGGCTGCGACAGGGGGATCACTTGAGCCTGGGAGGTGGAGGTTGCAGTGAGCTGAGGAGTGCCATTGCATGCCAGCCTGGGTAATAGAGTGAAACTCTGTCTCAAACAAAGAAACCAAAATAAAGATTCACAAGGCTTGTTAGTTTGTTGAAGACTCTGAGAAATCCTACAAAAAGACATTGGCTCAGCTTTATTTGACCCAACATTTCTCACAGTTATTCGACCATGGAATCTGTTTTCTGCTCACTCGTTATATCCTTTGAAACTCCAGTGCACCATTTAGTTGACTTCCTGATCCAAGGTTCTTTATTAAGTGCCTGCTTCCACCCTGCACTGTGGGCGTGGGCTTTTATGACCTCTTCCTTGCATGTGGTTATAATTGGGATGATTAGAAAACTTCCTGCACAGAAAGA